GTATGTATATTTATGTATATATAATATATATATATATAGATAGATATAAATATATATAAATTCATATACATCATTGTGAAATCCACGTGAATGCATTCATGATCATCACTGTATAATATTTATACAAAACTGCGCGATCTACGCAAATCTGCATACAAATACGCGATGTTACCACACCACATTCAAGCAGGCCACATCTGCACACCCTCTCCCCCTTTTCTCCCCTTGTGCCAGGACGCAATTTTCACCAGGTGGCGCCTGGCGCGGCTCTCACCTCGCAAACGTGAATCCGTCGGCCATGTCGCCGCGCGTGCCATTGCCGTGGCGCTGGTAGAAGCGCAGGTAGACCCAGCTGGCGGCGAGTCCCGCGGCGAACATGCATGGGTAGATGCCGCGAAGGCCCCCTAGCAGGAACATCACGACGACGAGTGCCAGCACGGCCGCCGGAACGTGTCGGTTCCGGAACTTTCCGCACGGCGTCGTCGAAAGCACGTGCTCGGGCATGAACTGGCGCACGGCGACGGCGACGGCGGCGACGTAGCCGACGAGGCCGTGCACGTGCGCGTCGTACAGGTACGCCGGGTCGCGCGTGCACGTGTACGCGAACAGGTAGGTGAGCACGCACGCGAGCGCGACGCACGTGTTGATGAGCGAGAAGAAGATGAGCATCTCCATCGCGCCCCACAGCGGCTCGAGCAGTTTGCCGCAGAGGCCGACGACGCCGATGTCGATGACGACGTCCCAGAAGTGGAGCTCCATGAACGGGTACGTGACGAGCGTCCACAGCCAGAAGTGGGGCGGCATAAGATAGGCGGGCGTGAGGCTGAGCGCGTCGAAGGCTGCATTGCTGAACGAGACGAAGTAGCCGACGACCACAGCCACGCAGATCGCCTTCACGACGACGCTGCTGTTGTGGAAGGCCGCCTTAACTTGCTCCTTCACGAACGAAGTATGTTTCATAAAGATGGGCGGCGCCATCTTGTTTGTTGGCATATGTGACGTCACGCGCCGCAGCGCGATTGCGGAAATCGGAGCGGCCAATCAGAAATTGTTTCTACTTCAAAATATTCCATTCTCTCATTCATATATGAACCTAGAGATGGCGCTTTCATCACTTTTGAAAATAGCGTCGATTTTGTTATGAGGTTGCAGCATCTTTTCTACTTATTTTCGGCCCTGTAACACTCGGTATGGAAAGTAGAGAGACTTAAAACGTTCCATATTTACGAGGTAAGCATTCTCCGTAGCCTTATGATGAAGTTAGCACTAGGTAATGCATGACACCTGCTCGCACTTAGTTACGGTGCTATTAGTATTATTAATACAGTCAGATTAGCTCCAAGAAACCACAGGCACAGGCACTTGGAACGTCTCAATAAAAAAATATAATGGTAAATAAACACGAAATGTATCAAAGTCTTAATGTTTCTCTACTCTATTTCGCCTATAATCACCTGTAAATGCCGGTCAAATGCTCATCTGCAACACACAAGAAGAGACGCAAGTACACCGCACGCCCGCCCTTAGCTCCAAGAAACGGTATCGCTAGGGTTAGGATACCCCTAAGTATAGACAATCCGTCGCACAGCCTGGTCGGGCTAGCCCGCCCTGTGCTGCGTGCACAAACAACATGAATAAGAGAGCAGGTAGGAAAGCGGGATGGAAAAATTCGTTCGACGCTCGCTTCATTTCACACGATCACAGAACGAAAACACATCCAACCGCTTCCATCTTGGTATCTATGTGTACATAAATGTTCACTTGTTCGAATTATAACTCTGGCCCTTGTTCTTATATACCTACTCCCGCCAGAGATATCTCGTGAAATCCTGCAGGAAATGTTCTCTCCGTGAAAATGTAAAGAGGACGTATCATCCAAAAATCCCTAACAGCGCTACTTTCGATCGATCGCTGTAGGCCTAGTCGTGTGTGCGTGACGTCATGCCCGCGGTCATTTTGCTTGGCTTGGCGGGCCTCGAAACGGAGCTCGGAGGCCGGCAGCAGCTCATCCCGGCATGCAATGCGCCCCATTGCTCGTGTATAAACAGTCAACTCGTCCTCTTTACATTTTTTTTATTGAGACGTTCCAAGTGCCTGTGCAAGAAACGGTCTTCGTCTTGCTAGGGTTAGAAGGGCTAATGCTCTATTAGGACTGTTCCCAACTTTGATATCATTAATGATTAATGATTAATGATTGATAATCCTAACCCTAACCCTAACCTAAATGACATTAAACCACAAACTAATATATGTTATTATGATCATTAATGACATTAAAGTTGGGAACACTCCTAATGGAGTATCACCCCAATTCCAGGAAAGAGTTTTGCTGGTGCTCTCTCATAGTCCAGCGATGCCCACCCCCTACATTTTAGTAGTGATTAGCACCACGCGACTGAAACAATCGTGCGCCCCCCCTGTACTTCAATCAATGCCGCCCCCAGCCAGCAGGCACATACGCAGCGTCGATGTGCATAGCCACAGACGCGTGCCTCGCGGGCCACTTTTTTCGGCGACCTTTAAAAATATAATGTGAGAATGTCGTGCGATAGCGCCCTGGCTCAAAGGATGTTAGGAATATTATTACTATAAATTTTTTTATTGTCCAATCGGGCAGCTAGCGAAACGGATAACTTGTCCGACATAGACTTGTCCTGAGCCTCATATAATAGCTCTTCGCAATTCGCTATAAATAAAAAACAGCTCACAAAGTCACAATAACCAGCCTATTTCATCAGATTCCTTCTAACTAGACTTCTAATAAGACTGAATCAGAACACACTAAATGCCCTCATGATGGTGTCTGCGGAAGGCCCATCAGCTCAGGACTTCCCCTTCCATGAGGCAGCAGATGCCTGGGCAGCAATTAGGAAAAGGAAACTGGGAATTTAAAGCCTTTATTACGAGATTTGATTTTCTACTCAGTAACGGTGCTCAGCGGAGTCCGTATAAAATATAGCGAAATATAGTTTCACCTTATAGTATATTTATTTACATTTTTTGCACATTGCTTTATAACATTTTACTTGTTACATTCACACTAGTATACAAATTGAACAATGAAAAATGACTCATCCCTCATGACTCTTGACTCAACCCAAATTATTTTGAAATATAGGTCATAAATTTTTTGCAAAAATGCTCCAAAATAAGGCTCAGATTGCACCAGAGGTCATCTAAAACCCCTGAGCTTCCAGGGCCCTAAGCACTAAGATTTTCAAATCAACGTGCATCTCTTTTTAAATGGCTCATATATATATGCAGTTTATGGCGATTGATGTTCATGAGTTAGCGTGTGTGACATGAGTAGCACCCATTGTCCTCACCCCTGCAGATGAAATTGTCCTTCAGTGGAGTTAAACCGGCGACCATGTGTTTGTAACTGAGTAATTGTATTGTTATGATCTTCATTTGCAGGTCAAACTGCAGAACTGTGATAATGCCAGGAAATGTAGGAAACTACCAGTGGATGCTTTGGGTATGAAATTTAAATTTTAAAACGTTTTACATCGATTACCTCTGATTTATCGTGAAGGTATCCTTTATGCCACTGTATTTATGCATACGCTGTATTTGTTTATTATATTGCTATTTCTGAATTGCATTATAAGAAATTGAGTCAGCTGATACGAATTCGGAATCGTCATGAGTAGTAGACACTCAATTGTCGCCAGTGTGGCCTTGGTACAAATATGACTTATATGTTGCTCTGTCAACAATAATTTCGTATCATAGGTGCTATGTATTTGTTAACAATGGTAGAAGCGTTATCTGACTTCGTTCCAAAAGCATTGCAAGCCAATTGTTAGCTCATCTGACATAGTCAGATGCAGCTTGTAGAATCGCACGATCGTCCGTCCATGCGTCCGTCCGTGCGTCCGTCCGTGCGTCCGGCCGTCCGTCCGTGCGTCAACAGTTGGGCACAAATCTTAACCGCTCGACGTACGGTCACGATATTCGGG